TTGACTGGGGGGGCAGGGGGGATACTGTTGGCACCTGCGAGGATCACCTCCTCTGAGCTGGGAGAGGTGGGACAGGGGCCGGGAGTGGTGGTAGGGATGGTGGCCCAGAAGCCCCTTCCTCTGGGCCGGGAGCAGTGGGACAGAAGGTGGCCCAAAAGCCCTTTCCTCTGGGCTGGGGGCAGAGGGAGGGATGGTGGCCGGGAAGCCCCTTCCTCTGGACCAGGAGCAGGAGGACAGCAGCTCAGAAGCCCCTACCTCTGGGCCAGGAGCAGCAAGAGGGATGATGGCCCAGAAGCCCCTTCCTCTGGACCTCCAGTAACATTCTTATTTCAATTCAGCATAGATAGAGTAAGCTGTGGGAAAGCCTGACTTGCTGAGACCTACACTAGATGACTTAATAAACACTGATTATTTTTAAAGTTCTAGAATGTCCTTTTTTTTAGCTTTCATTGCTTGACTTAGAATTCCTGTCCATTCATTTTGACAGTGTTTTTAAAAATTAAATCCTTAAATGCTTTTGCAATAACTTCCTTCAAGTCCCTGTTTATCACTTCCAACATCTCAGTTATACTGATTTCCTGGATGGGAGGGAGTAATGACTCACAGTAACACAAGAAAAGTTACTGGAGTTATGGAGATATTCTATATCTTAATGAAGGTCAATGGTCATGAATTGCATGCTTAAATTAAAGTGAAAGGTGTGCTTAAATTATGTTTTATTTCATGTAAATTATACCTCTATTAAGAATTTATTAAAAAGTTTTAAAAATCCACTCCCCTAAATAAAAGAAATTTAAAAGATTTTTATTTTTTCACAATAGGACACAATCTAGTCCTCTGGTGATGAAAAGGAGAATGTACTAGACTATGAATTGTCATGATCACAACTATCTACTTCTTTCATCATAAAAAAAAGAATCTGACAACATCATTCACAGAAGACTGAGAAACACACAAACTTGAGAGCAACATAGAACCAATAATGGCATTTGATTGGTGATTTTTCAAAGATTTCAAAATTGCCTGCCCTATTTAGATTTTCCATGTATTCTCAGACTACCATAAATATTAGAAATCTCCAGTGAAGAATCTGTATAAATTCCTACATGAAAACAATAGGTAAGAAATTATCCTTTATTTCATCCAAATAGGGCCACATCTAGCTCCTTTTCTGCAGGTGTTGGGTAGATTAAATAGCACAAAGGGATTTTATAAACCTGAGGGCTAAAAATCCAAAATCAATGCACAGATAACCTAAAAATCAAAGGGGGGTCTGCAGCCAGTGTCTGAATCAACTTTCTACTCAAATCTTTTTGAGAAGGGTCATATGCTTCCTGCTACTGTCAGTCTCATCACCTTTGCTTGGGATGATCAACTTCATAATACCATGTAACTTAAAATAATTAACAACGTCCATCATAAGGATACAATTTTTTAGTCTTGGTAAGTATTTTCAGAAATACCGCCTTCTACTGACACCTCACCTAATGGGTTAAGCTGATAAATCACATTTTTACATTTCTTTTCTGTAGATAAAACCCCTCCCTTTAGGAAAGACAAATAAAGGCTATAGGATCAGCTAAGATCAGCTAAGACTTCCTGCAGCTACCTCAAATTAAGTGTTTCCATGAACTCAACTCTTTCCATAAAAACAAACATCCAAGGCACAGTAGTATCTTATTGCTAGCCAGTGTCTATTAAGTCATCTAGTGTAAGTCTCAGAGTCAGGCTTTCCCACAGCTTACTCTGTATACACTGCATTGTATTTAGTCCATTTTCATCATGTTTGCTTTTCTTCCCAGGAACAGTATGAGACACAAAAAAATAATTCTATCATTATTGATTTTATTATCTCTATGGGCCATGCATAGGAAGTATCATTTCAGGTAACTATAAAAGCCAGTGAATGTTTTATTCTGATATTTGGTAAGGATCTGGTATGTAAAAATAGGTAATAGACTCACCTTTGAATAATTTGTCACCAAAGAATATGCAAATGATACACAAATATGTCAACATAAATATTGTCTTCAGCATCCAAATCCTTTGTTTTCAATGGGATCAAAGCTAAAAATGATTTTTGTAAATCCATATGTATAAGAAGCACTTTAAAACTCCCAGTTACTTGATCCCAGCACTCGGGAGGCTAAAGCAGGAGAATCGCTGCAAGTTCAAGGCTGGCCTGGGCTATATAGTGAGTTCAAGGCCAGCTTGAAGGACACAGCAAGACCCTGTCTCAAAACATAAAATTAAATTAAATTAAAATTTAAAAACTATCAGTTACTGAGGCAGTGTAGTGTTCATAAAGGTTAAAGAGAAATTGACATTTGGAAATAGGCAATATCTTATTTTCTTTAAGAAAACATCCTAATGTTGGTGACTTCAAGTACTATATATTGTATTTACCTACCACAAGTTTGAACAAGAAGAAAGATTTCATTGGCAACTAACAAGTTTGTTCTAATATTAAGTAAGCTTCTTACTTATTTGCGTCTCAAAGAATATGGTTTGGACATGTTGTTTTGTTTGTTTTTTTAAGATATAGCATATAAGACCCTAACTGTAATTACTTTTTATTATCTTTGCTATTGTATCTCTACAACCAACAATGTACTTGGCACAGAGTATATTTGGTAATAATAGATAATAAAATAGCTGGGTTGATAGATTCCAGCTTTAGTCATATTGCATGTGGAACCACTTTGTATACATTAAAAAGTAGTATAATGCTTTCCATTTGTCCCAAGCATAAAGCAGCTTCAGAAGATGCCTCAGTGCTGATAAGTGTTTGTTTGCAAACATGCTACGACCTCTTCTTTGAGGAAAAAGCATTTGGAGTTCCTTGGAGTACCTGTGACTCCTTGGTTCCTATGGGCCATATAAACCAATGCAATTTTTACAAACCCATGCTGGAGATAATAGAGGTCAGAGTGCCAAGAACCAAAAGGAGAGCAGACTGGTGGAGTGCCACCTCTGACAGAGGGATGGGAGCTGGTAAGGGGGAATGTATTACCAGGAACCAGAACTCAGTCCCCAGTAACCCTGAGTCTTGAAAGCTCTGGGGAAACACACAGAGCAGATTTTGCCAAACAACTCCCAGAGATTGCACTGACCATGTGCCACCCCAAGATCACACCATCAGAATGTGCACAGTCAGGGAAAATTTCCCAATGATTACACAAGACCCATTACTATAATAACGAGTTCTTCAGTGTCTTCCTATAGTCATGGGGACACACACAGTCAAGGGAGGAGCACTTTCTTTGTTTCTCTAATGATTCTATGATTACAACATCACTACTATGACCATGATTAGATAGCTGGGTGATCGGTGCCATGCATAAAAATAATATATTAAGAAATGATGTTATCCCTATATATAGCCATTGCTAATGGGACAGTAACTTTCAGCTATCTGAAAACAAAAGAAAAACTTCTAGGTAAAGATGGAAACATTCAAGGAAAGACTGTTGCAACCAAAGCTGAGGGAAAGAATAGATTAGAATATATTCTGGCAAATGTATCTGATGCAATACATTCTTTTTTTTGTATATCCTTTTATTGGTACATTTTAGGTGTACAATACAATGGCATTCATCATTGGAGATATGCACCTTTACATACTCTCTTGGTTCTTATTTTTTCCCCCTTCCCCTACCCTTCCTTCAACCCCACTATCCCTCCCTATTTACAAAGACTTTGTTTCCTTTTTTCATTTTCTCATATTAATTCCATTCCCTTCTTTCCTTTCCCCTACCCCTCCCACTTCCCCCTCCCCTTTGCCCCTTTTCTTCCTATTTCACATTATCTAGTATACCCTTTAGTCCTCGTTTACACTTTCAATTTCTCACACTAGAGAAACTATTTGGTATCTACACATGTGTGTCCTGTTTATTTCACTTAAGAGTATCACCTCAGTGTGTGATGCAATATATTCTAACAATAATTTTATCTATTATTATTATTAGCTCTCCTTAGCATCAGGATTCTGTAGCCTCAATACTAACAAGAATCATCGAAAGTTAATGGTTATGTGAGTGGGTATTTTAGAGGAATCCTGTGTCTTGCTCACACCCTTAACACTAGTTTCTCCTGTCTATAATGACAGCCCCATGACTCATGACACAGTTTGATAGTTGCCCGATCTCTTCATTAACCCAACCAGGATCAACTCTCCAGAAGTGCCCTGGCTCCACAACTTGTGAGAGTATATGGTAAAAAGGAAAAAGCAGGAGTCAGGCAAAACTGCTTATCCACCTCTTGCTGTGTGACTCTGGGGACCATAACAAAGGCTCTTTGTGCCTCTATTTCACTGGTAAAATGATGCTAAAATAATAACGGTACCTATCTCATATAGGTACTGTGTGGAATAGATTATATAACACTTCAGAAATTATCCAATAAATATCAGCTATTAATGAAGACTAATCACATCTAGTAGCTCAGGAAATGCTTCGTTAGGGAGGGATATTTAAAGTTAGAACTGAAAGCTGTGTGGGAAGTAGCTGGTTGAATCTGTGGTACATTTAAGGTAATTTTTAAAAGATCAGGAGGGCAGGGAAATTATAATGATAAAGCCCTGGTGGGGGATGGGGCTGGAACAGAATAAAGCATAGGACATGGGAAACATTGTGGCCACATAAGGAATGTGGACATGATCCTCAGGAGAGTGGGAAGCTACTGAGCCCTGTTATGCCAAATAATGACATAGTGAAACCAGAGCTCAAGAAATGTGGTACCAGGAGCTGAACAGAAATATAGAAAGTGAGTTGAAAAGGGACGATGTAAGGGCAGGTAGAGAGAGTAGCACCCGGCTAATTGGGGGGGGGGCGGTGAGAATATGGAGGTTCATTCTATTCTCTTTACATTTGTGTGCCTGTGAGAGTTTCATCCTACAAAGTCTTCCTATAAAGCATACAGGCCAGAATGTAGTTCATGGCAACTCCTCCTAACCCTATCCAACACTGAAGAGTGCCACTGGGTTACTCAAGGCACCCACGATGTTGGAAGAAAGTGCTCCTACCAGAAAGCTGGATCCCCAGGCTTACCCTGCAACCAATTCCCAGGAGAGGATTCCCAGTGGGACTCGAATGTGGAAGAAGGGCTCACCTCAATCACATGGTACCAGGAGACCTCCTAAAGGGGGTAAAGGAAGGAGGAAAGAGAGCCATGAACATGAGCAAAGCTTCAGAGGTGCTCTAGGAACCAGAAGAAAGCCTGAGCCAATTCTAGGAAAGGCTATGTGGAGCATTCCATCTGTATACTCCCTTTGACCTGGAAGTGGCTAAGAATCAGTGGATGGTGAATGTGGTGCTGGTCAGCGAGGCTCAAGGAGATATTAAGCTTAAGTTACAGAAACTGGAAGGGTTTGCAGGAATGAACGCCAACCAATTGTTAGAAGTTGCAACCAAGGTGTCTGTCAACCAAGACCAGGATGATTGGCAGGAGGAAAGTACTAAAATGAAAAAGAAGGCAGACTCATTGGCAGCCACCCTGGAGGATACACCCAGGGGCAGAGGACAAGGCCTATGGGGAAGCTAACAGAAGGGGCCTCCTGCCTGGGAACAAAGATAGACTGGGACCAGTGTGCCCACTGTTGTAGGTATGGACATGGGAAGGGTGAATGGCCCTATGGGGTTGAAAAATATCCCCTTCTCCTCCCATCAAGAGAACAGAGGACACGTAGTCCAGGGCTGATACCAGTCGGTTCAGAAGCCATGCAAGACACTAAATGATGGTTTCCTAGGACTGGCCACTAAGGGAGAATACAAGGAGGACTAGGACAGACCAGGCTCTATGTTGTCAGTCCCCCAGGAGCCCACCGTCCAAATGAATGGGGGGGGTGGCTATAGGCTTTATGGTGGACACTTGAGGTTAGTATTCTGTGTTGACCCAACCCATGGGCCCCCTCTGGCAGAGACAGGCCACTGTAGTGGCAACTGAACATGCTGCCCTTTCCTGCTGCCCTGAAAATGCAGTTTAGGTGGCCATGATGTCATTCACGAATTCTTATACCTCCCCAACTGTCCTGTGGCTTTAATGGGTCAAGACTTATTGGGAAAGCTTCAGGCCCAGATAACTTTCAACTCCCATGGTCAGGCTGCTTTAACTTTACAAAGACTGGAAGCACAAATCAAGACTCTCATGATCCACCAAGGTGAAGAATGGAGCCTCCACAGTCTTATAGAGAGGGCACAACAGGGACCAGAGCTTCCCTTCAGAGTACCTGGGGTATGGGTTGAAGATAATCCACCCGGACTAGCCTGAAACATGCATCCACTAATTGTGGAGCTCAAGCCAGGGGCAGAGCCAATTCACCAAAGACAATACTTCATCTGTCACAAGGCACAGATTGGGATACAAGAGCACCTGGACAGGCTTCTAGATCACAGGATCCTCCAACCTTGCCAGTTCCTTGGAACACACCCCTCCTGCCTGTCTAGAAACAAGGCACAGATGACTATTGGCCAGTTCAAGATCTGTGAGCAGTGAACCAGGCCATCATTACTCTAATCCCAGTTGTCCCAAACCATTACCTCTCTTGGGTCTCATCTCACTGAAGCAACCTTCTTTACATGTCTAGACCTCAAGGATGCTTTCTTCTGCATCCATCTGGCCCTACAGAACCAGCCAAATTTTGCCTTCCTGTGGGGAAATCCAGAAAATGGTGACAACAGCTAGCTGACTTGGACAAGGCTACCTCAAGGGTTCAAAAATTCTCCAACCATTTTCAGCACTGCACTGGCCATTGACTTGAAGGCCTTCCCTGCAGGTCAACATGGTTGTGTATTACTCCAGTATGTACATGACCTGCTCTTGGCTAGCCAAACACAGAAAGGCTGCATGGAAAGGACATGATTAGTCCTCACTCTCCTGTGGGAGGTCAGCTATAAAGTCTCAAGAAAGAAGACCCAAATTTGCCAGGAGAAAGTTAAGTACCTTGGTTACTACTTGTCACAACGACAGCACCATCCCAGGTCAAAGAGAAAACAAGCAGTTTGTTCAATCCCAGTTCCTACGATCAATACCAGATCCAAGAGTTCCTCAAGGCCACAGGTTCCTGTAGGATCTGGGTTCCTAACTTCTCAGTCTTGGTGAAACTCCATCATAAGGCCACAAAGGGTGGGGGGCGATAACCTCTGTTATAGGAGTAGGAACAGCAAAAAGTCTTTGAAGAGATTAAACATGCCCTCACCAATGCACCAGGCCTGGGACTTCCAAACGTGACTAACCCTTTGTATTTATACATCCACAAGCATACTGGCATAGCAGTGGGAGCTTTAACCCAGACGCTGGGGTCCTGGCATCATACCTCTCCAACCAACTCAATTCTGTCACCCAGGACTAGCCACCCTGTTTGCAAACACTTGCAACTACAGACTTCTCAGTGGCAGAGGCTGACAAACTGGCAATGAGACAAGGATTAACAGTCTGAGTGCCACACTCAGTGCTGACATTGATGGAATACAAGGGAAAATACTGACTAGCCAATGCCCAGATGATCAAATCTCAAGGGAAGTTTTGTAAAAACTTGTGCATTCACTTAGAGGTGGTGCAGACCCTCTACCCAGCAACCCTACTGATGTTTGGGCCAGGCCAGCCAGATCATGACTGCGCTGAGGTCATGGATGAGGTGTTCTCCAGCTGACCGGACTTAGAGGACTTAGAGGACCAGCCCTTCAAGGACCCCGATGCTGAGTATTTCACTGATGGTAGCAGACGGAAAGAACCTTTCAGGGTACTCCGTGGTAACCCTGAATTCTGTCACTGAGGCAAAATCTCTGCCAACAGGGATCTTGGCACAGGAAGTGGAGTTCATTGCACTAACCAGAGCACTTCAGCTAGTGGCAGGAATACACATCAACATATACTAGGACTTCAAGAATGCCTTCAACAACTTTCATGTGTACTGGGATCTATATAAAGAAAAAGGCCTGATAAACTCAAGAGGAAAAAATCTAAAATATGGAAAGGAAATCCTTGAACTTTTGGATGCTGAATGGGCCCCTAAAAGGGGTGGCAGTCATCCACTGTTGGGGACATCAAAGGGGAGGCACCAGAGCCACTCGCTGGGGAAATCAACCATAAAGTAGACTGGAAAACTAAGCTGGTGGCCACCAGGGGAACAGCAGAATTGATGGCCCTGGCTCCTGTGCTGCTTTGTAGTCCATTAACAGAATGGGATCCTAATTACTCACGACATGAGATTGCTTGGTTTAAGGAGGATGAAATTCCCTCCCAGGAAGATGGTAGAAGTTTAAAAACAGCCGGCCAAGTAGCAACCCTGGGGCTCTGGCCCCAGTTTTTGTCAGAAAGTTGCACAAGACACCCATAAAGGTCAGGCAGCTCTCAAGACAGCAGTGAATTGACGTTTCTATGTCCCCTGGCTCTCCAGCATAGCTGGGGTGGTGTGTAAACAATCTGAAATGTATGTCTGCATTAGCCCATATCAAGGGCCCAGGGCTGCTCCTGGGGTACAGAGTGTTAGGGAAGCCCCACTTGAAAATGTGGCTGTGGATTTTACTGAGCTTCCCCAAGTTCATGGCTATAAGCATTTGCTAGTATTTGCTACTTTTTGCATGTACTTTCTCAGGCAAGGTAGAGGCCTTCCCCATCTGCATGGAAAAGTCATCTGAGGTGGCCCAGATCTCCTGTTTTGGAATTCCTGTTACCATAGGATCAGACAATGGGCCGGCATTTGTTGAAGAGGTGGTACAGCTAGTGGTCAAAGGACTAAAGGTTACTTGGAAACTGCATACACCTTACTATCCCCAGAGTTCAGGGAAGTTGGAGAGAATAAACAGGACTTTAAAACTATAGCTGAGCAAGCTGTGCCAGGAAACTCACCTGCAGTGGGACCAACTCTTGCCAGTAGCTCTGCTGAGGATCAGATCTAGTCCCACTAAACACACAGGGCTTTCCCCTTTTGAAATTCTCTATGGGCAGCTGCCTCTGCTAGGCCACAAGAGGGAATTTAAAAGAGCTTGGAAAGCCACCCTACACCATGGGTTAAGGAACGATTGTCTGTGAGTTTGCCCTCAGATGCTCACTCTTTCAAGCTGGGGGATGATGTGTGGGTAAGGGAATGGAATGTCCAGCCTCTGAAACCTCTCTAGAGGGGGCCATTCACTGTTATTCTATCCACCCCCACTGCAGTAAAGGTGGATGAGATAGTCCCCTGGATACATCACAGTAAAACCAGTGTCTGGAGACTGGGAGTGTATCCCAGACTCATCAGAACCACATTAGTTTACTATCTGGAAGAAGTAGACCTCGACCTCAGGAATGCCACTGAAAGGCAACAGCCCTTCTCTAGTCACTCCAGAGGCTGACTAGTCTATGCACTGCAGATGTCTGAGGATGCCACTGACTGGCAACCCATATAGATTGCATCCTTTTTGTGACTATCTGTAATGTACTGCCACCTCTTTCTCATAACTGTATTTGGATCTCTAGCCCTGCTTTTGCCATAGCCCTTGCCTAGACCACCCCAACTGACTAGATATATGGCAAGAGGTGCCTGCTGGCCCTTGCCTTCCTCTTGTGGGTGGGACATTTTGCTGATATTGGTGCTTTTTTAAATTTACAAAACCTGGGTAACAAATTTGTATCTGCCAGTATTGATATTTTTTGATGTGTGTACCACCATTAGTAAAAATCCCTGGATAGTTCCCAAATGTGGAGGGCTATCATGGGAATGAAAATATAGGCTCAGGGATAAATAAATGTGTGAACAGGCCTCATTCCAATCTGCCTGTTATGGTGACTGCTGGGCCTACTGACTATTGGGACTACTGGCCCCTATTGCAGCTGTGTCTCATGAGCCACTTGGAAGGGTAAAAATAAGGCACTACTCCTCCAAAAGGGGCTGCCCCCTCTTAGCTGTGAATTGGGAACCTGTAACCCTATTACATTTACTATCTGTTATGTAGGAGACCCAAAGTGGGAAAATGGCCTCTGGTTTGGGATAGATATCTATATCAACATCAATATCTAGATCTACATATGAGGCATTGCACCCAGGGACTGTGTTACATTTCAAGAGGGTCACTACTGTCCAAGTGGCCACATCTTATCAGATTTTTTACTCATTTTATGAGGAAATAGAAAGTATCCCCCCTCCAATCCCAGCCACAACCAAAAATTTGTTTTTAGCCCTAGCAGAGACTGTAGCCCAGACTCTGAAGATCTCTTCTTGCTATGTATGTGGGAGAACCAACATGGGGTATCAATGGCCATGGGAAACTAGAGAATTAGATCCCAGTGAACCTTATATTGGTACAGGGTACCCGAGCTCTACATCAGGGGTTTGGCTTCTTAAGACCTCAAAAATTGAAAGAAAATGTCATCCCCGGTGGAGAGAACAGTTCAGCATCTCTGTAGGGAGCCTAATGTGTCTGGGTCAAAGGTCCTACACCTCAGCTGCCAGAAGACCCAATGGTGGAGGTCCCCTGACTACTTTGAACCCTCACCTCTTGTCCAACTTTTCTCATCTAAAGGGGCCCTGGAACCTTTCAAAGCAGACATCAAATGATGGATCACAGACAGATCATATTGGAGATGTGGAAAAAACACATATGCTGTATTTCCCCAAAACTGGTCAGGGTGTCATGTATTAGGGACAATTCACCTGTCTTTCTTTCTATTTCCAGTTCCCAGGGGAGAACATCTGGGGGTCCAAGTGTATGGAGACAGAAAATAGAAAATGACATACCCTGCAAATTGGCAATTGAAAATGGCCTCCTGAATGGATAATTCAGTATTATGGTCCTGCCACTTGGACAGAGGAAGGGTCCAGGCTACTGCACCCCCATTTATATGCTAAACCATATAATTAGACTGCAAGAAGTTGTGGAAATTGTAACTAATGAAACTGCCAAAGCTTTCAACTTGACAGCCAAACAATGGACTAAAATGTACACTGCTATCTATCAAAATTGCCTGGTCTTAGATTATCTGCTTGCTTCCAAGGGAGGGGTTTGTGGAAATTTAACCTAAGCAACTGCTACAAATAGAGGATGAGAGAAAGGTCACAGAGGAGATTACTGATCGAATGAGGAAAATTGTTCATGTTCCAATCCAGACATGGAAATGTTGGAATCCTGAGGAACTGTTTGGGAGATGTTTTTTCAACTCCCAGAGCATTCAAAACCCTCATAGGTATCACACTCCTGATTTTGGAACCTGTTTGATCCTGACTTCACCTGGCTGCCCTGGTTACACATTCTGTCTCTAGCCTCATTGAAATGATAATGGAAAGAAAAATGGCCACACGTGATGATGTTATGGAAATACATATCGCTGAGTCAGGATGATGCTCTTTGACCCAAAATAGAATGGAATCTGAGCACCAAAGCAGGGAATATAGTAGGGTCACTCCCTGTGTGTCTGCCTGGGAACTTTTTACAATGTAGTGATATCAGCCTCTGTGTAGTTCTGACGTAACTCTGTAACATAAATCATACCCAACCAGACTGTAGAATGTTAGTGGATGCCCATATAGGGAGACAAAGACACAAAAATTGTATAAAAGGGTACAACTACACCATGTCTTGCACTTAGCCTTTGGATAGGAATAGACTGAGTCAGTGCCACCACAAATAAGGCTGCTTCCTGGGAAAAAGGCCTCGGTGTCCCGCCTCTCTACACAAAAATCTTGGAGCACCATCACCATCAAAGTTCATCAGTGTTTTTCTTACTGCTTCACTCTTATTTTGCACCTTATTATAATACAGCTCATGATTTGACAAATATTCAAGCACCTCAGCCACTAATGCATATATAATCTGACTCTTAGAATTATCTTTCCATTTTCCTTTTAGGTTCCTGGAATATCAAACAGAATTACAGCTATCAGACTGGTTTCATCCCATGTAAGACTCCAAATCTTGCACATATGAAGTTAATCCATGAAAATTAATAGATGGCAACAATACACTACTGGGCTTCATAATGTCAGAGAGAAGATGGATCTTTGATTACAGTATTTTAAAAATAGGCTGTAGCTAAGATCCATGGGGCTGGACATTTGGACAGATACCCTTCATGAATGAGCGTTTAGACAACCTCAAGGTCCTGGAACAGTGGCAGACACAAAGTGTGCGGGTGCACTTAGGATCATTTGGTTGATTCTGCTCAGATCATTGAGAGAAGCAGAGCCCAGGTGGGCCAGTGGGCTGTGTACACACACTATGCCTTAGTCCAACAGCCCTGCTTCTATCTTCTCAATCTACTCACTTGTCTTTCACTCTAATGCTGCAGGCTTTAAGTAATTTCCCTAATTAAAACCTTGAAAGGAGACTTCCAGGGCTAAGATCATGACTGGATAATAGCCTATGACTCATCCTCTCTTAACATTACCACATTTATCAGAATCTAATCAGAACACAGAAAGCACACCAATTATGTAGGCAGAGAATGTAAAATAATGAATTATTAACTAGTTAATGTTGTTAACTACATAATGGAATGTGAAGGGGGATCTCAAAGGTACCATGACATAACAACTACAGGAACTATTTCTGCTAGGGCTGAAGAAACAGCAGGAAGAGGCTGGAATCATTAAACTTTAGACACTTAGAGAAGCAGTTTCCAGTGCTTAAACTCTGATGCTGCTGAGCTGGTGTCTGACCATTACAGAGGCCTCTTAGGGCTGGGGTCTAGACCTGTAAGGAGAAGCATAAGAGGCTGGTTTTGTAAGTGCTGGAAAACCTCAAAACTGGATTTAGCTGTTGCTCTGGAAAGGAGCTGCAGTTGCTGGGCTAGGAAGCATGCTAGGATGGGATTTGCCGGAGCAGGAGCAGACAAGTAACCCACAGGAAAAAAGGAGGAGCAAATTTCTTCTTCCTCTAGCCTGAAGGGATCACCTGGCAAGGGAGAAGTAGGACTTGCAGAGTTCCAGCTCCAGGAAGATAAAGCAGAGGACAGTGCTGTGGGCTGCGTTAGGAAACATGGTGCCCTGATAACTGGGTACAGATTCCCATTAATAGGACATGCAAGGTATATCCTAGTAATCAAGGAGATGATTCATCACAATGGGACAAAGGAGAAAACTATATAATCATTTCAATTGATTCTAAGTAACCTGCTGATGAAATATAATTCCCATTCCAGATTTTCATGATTACCATTAATGCTGAACACCTTTTCATATGCACATTGGCCACTTGCATATTCACCTTTCTAAAGTGTCAGTTAAAATCAATCTCTCTCCCCCATTGTCATTTTGTTTTTATTTGTCATTAGTTCTCTATATTTTAGATACAACCCTATTATCAGCTATCTTTTTTGGTACTGGGGCTTGAACTCAGGACCTTACACTTTCGAGGCAGGCACAGTGCCACTGAGCTAAATACCCAGGCCATATCGGCTATATGTTATGGGATGTTTTCTCTCTAGCTATTTTCAAATTGAAGTAAAAGTTACATAATATAAAGTTCACTATATTAACCATTTAAACTATACAATTCAGATGAGATTGGGCATGTTCAGGGTGGTATGGCCTTAGACTAAACTATACAGTTCAGCAAATTTTAGTGCATTCATAATGTTGCATGACTATCACCATTATCTCTTTCAAAGACATCTTTGTCACACCTCAAAAACCTTCTCATTGAGCTGTAACTCCCCATTACCCAGTTGCTCCTAACCCCTGGAAAACACTGGTTTGCTTTCTGTCTCTCTGGATTTACTTATCTTGGACACTTCACATACATGATATGCAATATGTAGCACTTTGTGTTTGACTTCTTCCAATTAGCATGTTTTCAAGGTTCCATCCAGGCTATCACATGTATCAGTATTTCATTCCTCTTTATAGCTGAATAATATTCCACCATGTGAATATATCACATATCTTTATCACTAAATAAATACTAGCTTATTTTCACTTTTTGGCTCTTACAAATAATGCTGCTATAAATATTCATGCACAAGTTTTTATTGGAACACATGTTTTAAATTCTTTTGGATATAGAAATGGAATTACTGGATTACATGGTAATTCTGTTGAATTTTTGAGGAACCACCAAATTGTTTTCCACAGCAGCTGCACCATTTTACTTTCCTGCCAATAATCTATGAATGTTCCAATTTCTCCGTATCTTTGCCAATATTTGTTTTCTTTTCTTTTTTCTTTCCTCTCCCTTCCCTCTCCTCCCCTCCCTTCCCTTCCTTTTTCTTTTTCCAGAGAGAAGAACTCCCTGTGTAGCCCAGATGGCCTCAAACTCATGATCCTCTTGGATCAGCCTCCCAAGTGCTAGGATTACAAGCAAACTAATTTCTGTTATTTTCTGGTATTTGTGTTTTGTTTTGATTGGTTGGTTGTGTTTTGTTTTGTGAGGTGGAGTCTTGCTGTGTTGACCAGGCTGGTCTTGAACCCAAGTGTTCCCTGTGCCTCAGCTCCCAAATAGCTAGGACTACAGGTGCACACCTCTGTGTCTGACTTATTTTGTTTTATATCATTGCCATCCTACTGTGTGAAATAGTTTTAATTCACATTTCATTAAAGATTGTTGAGCTTCTTTTCATGTATTTATTGGCTTTTTTTTTTTTTTTTTTGGTACTGGGGATCGAACTCTATTCCTTGCACTTGCAAGGTAGGCAGCAGAACCACTGAACTAAATCCCTGGCCCTATTGGCCTTTTTTATATAGACAGAAGTGTCAGGCCATTTTAAAACTGGATTGTATTTTTTATTGTAAAAAGACACTACTTATAAAGTTGGTTTGTAAGAATTCTTTATATATTTGGAAATAAACTCTTCTTAGATATATGACTTGTATTTTCTCCCATACTATGGGCTATTTTTCCCTTTCTGTATAGTGCTCTTTGATGGAAAAAGTTTTGGTTTTAATGTGTAAGACCAAAGCGACTCCATTTTGCTAAAATCTACCATTCCCCCAGCCTCTCAAATTAATGGTTAAAATGTGTTTGTTCTGGGACAGAAGATACAATCTGTAACAAACCAAAGTTCCTAAGTTAATTACTCAGCCATCTGTTTGCCCAGAAAATGAACGTTCTGGGCCCCCTATCTATAGAACAACCTGTAGATGTGCTGACCGTCAGTACGTGACAGTCGGCCACTAAACTTTGTCCCTCTTTTCCCTCATAAAACCTACATGTAGCCACCCCTCACCCCCCAATGCACCTGGCCAATCAAAAATGTACACTTCATGCTTGCTAATTGTCAACCAATCATGTAACTGCTAAATAGAAAATCTCCAAGCCTTGCTGTAACCTCTATAAAAACCCCACTAATTTGAAATTCGGGGCTCTCAATTCTGATCCGCTGCTTCGGTGACGGTTGAGAGCCCCTGCTCGAGCTTGAATAAATGACCCTCATGTGCTTGCATCGGGAACAACTTCCTGGTGGTCTCTGGGGACTTCGCAATCTGGGCACAACATTTGGGGGCTCATCTGGGATCCCCAAAACCCCAGGATCCCCGTACCAGAGGGTCAACACTGGCCGGTGAGTGATGTCTCTTTGTTTGTCTGTAATTCGGGGGCCCAATTTCTGGTTAGGTCGGCAGACGGTCTAGGTGGACGCTCTGTGAGGGCCGCCAACCCGAGATCCTGGAAGACGTTCCAGATCCTTCTGGAGGGGATGGAGTGCCCCATGGGTATGAGTCTGTAAGACTCCTGGAGGGACGGTGCGGGTCTCTCCCGCAGTATGGCATGAGGCCGTCGTCCCATTTCTGGTACTGCCTCCGATCAGGCAGAGGCCGGTTTTATCTTCTTTTTTGTTTTTTTGTTGTGTTTGTTTGTCTGTTTATTGTGGTGACTTGGACTGAGACGATGGGACAGACTGTGACTAACCCTCTATCTCTCATGAGGAATCATTTTAAAAAGGTTAGAGAGCGTGCTCATAACTTAAGTTTAGAAATTAAAAAGACTAAATTCATCACCCTTTGTAACTTGGAATGGCCCGCCTTTGGGTAGGTTGGCCACCCAAGGGGACCTTTGATCTAGGTACCACAAAGAGAGTCCAGGAGGTCGTCTTCCATTCTCATACAGGACACCCTGATCAAGTTCCCTATATTGTCACTTGGGAGAGTCTAATCTGCGACCCACCCCCAAGGGTCAAGCCCTTTTTGCCTCCACAGAAACAGCAGCCAGAGGTAATCCTGACAGCCTGTGAGAAGATTCCCAGAGGGTGCGACAACAAAAGGCAAACCGAAACCAAGCCCACTGTGCCGCTTTACCCAGTCCTCCAAGGAGGGACTGAGGAAGATCTCATTCCCCCCCCCCTTACTCTCTCTCTTTTCCCCCATGACAGCAGGCAGAAAGAAATGACCCAGCCTCAGCCGGAGCTAGGGAAGGAGGGCTGGCCCTGGGTGCCGGCAACCATGATGGCCCCGCCCAGAATACTCGCCACCAGGGTGCCACCTCGCTGGCAGGCCCGGCAGACTCTACTGTTTGTCTGCTGAGAGCGATAGGGCCCCCTGATGAGCATGGTAACCAGCCTCGTCATTACTGGTCCTTCGCCACCAGTGACCTTTATAACTGGCATACTCATCACGCCAAATTCTCTGATAACCCTAGGGATTTGATTAACCTGTTAGAAACTGTCTTGTTCACCCATCAGCCCACCTGAGATGATTGTCAACAACTTCTCCAAGCCCTTTTCACCTCTGAGGAGGGAGAAAGGATCCAAGGGCAAGCCATAAAATCAGTGTTGGGAGAAACAGAGGGCCCACTTGATGAACAACACTGGGCCCATGTTAAGACACAACTTCTGTCCACCCGTCCCCCATGGCAAGTTAATTCCTCGGGCAGGAGAAAAGCTCTCCAAAACTACCATCAGCATCTCCTAGCCGGCTTGAGGGGAGCTGCTCAAAAGCCTACCAATTTGAACAAGGTAAGCGAGGTCCTTCAAGGACCTGAGGAATCCCCTTCTGCCTTTCTGGAGCATCTGTTAGAAGCATACCGTGCGTATACTCCAATTGACCCAGATGCCCCTGCAAACCAACAGGCAATTAATTTGGCTTTTGTTACTCAGTAGGCCCCAGATATTAGAAAGAAACTGCAGCAGATGGAAGGATTTGAGGGAGAGAATAGGGAAAACTTGATGAGTGTGGTGATGAAGGTGTTTAACAATAGCGATCCTTTTGAGGATAGAATGGCTAAAAATATAGTAAAGGCAAACATTACAGCCTTGGCAGATGGAGGTTTTATCTGAAAGGAATACAGAGAAAATAAAAAAGAGGATAAAAGTAAAGTATGGCCCTTGTTAGAGAAGGATCAATGTGCATATTGCAAAGAGAAGGGCCATTACAAGAGAGATTATGAAAAGTTAAAAAGAAAGAGAGAGAAAGAGACTAAGAAAGAAAGAGATGGGGTTCTTCTAGTAGATAAAAAAGATTGACGAGGCCAAGATGGGGATCTCCAAACACATCCACTGACTCCAGAAAGCTGGTATCTTGATCCCTTGCCAGACAGCCTGGAATACACCACTGCTTCCTGTGAAAAAGCCCGACACCTCAGACTTCAGACCGGTACAGGATTTATGGGAAGTAAACAGCCGGGTGGAGACCGTTCACCCAACAGTACCAAACTTCTATACTCTGTTGAGTCTCATCCCTCCTGCTCATGTGTGGTACTCAGTATTAGACCTTAAAGATGCGTTTTTCAGCCTGCCTTTAGCACCTGTGAGCCAGCCCCTCCTTGCCTTCAAATGGACTGACCCAGACACCGGAACAACCGGACAGCTGACATGGACCCGGCTGCCGCAGGGATTCAAAAACTCCCCCACTCTGTTCGGGGAAGCTCTCAGCAAAAATCTGCAAGAGGTAAGAAAAGTGTTTCCCCAGGTGACTATTCTTCAGTATGTCGATGACCTCCTGGTGGCGACTTCAACCGATAAAGAATGCATTGCAGCCACCGAGGGCCTCCTGAAAGCCCTCCAGGAACTGGGATATCGGGTGTCCTGGAAGAAAGCTCAACTCTGCCAAACCAAGGTAACCTACTTGGGCTATATTCTTGAAAAGGGAAAGAGGAGGCTTGCAGAATCGAGAGTAGCCACAATTCTCCAGATTCCAAAGCCAGGCTCAAAGAAACAGGTGAGAGAGTTCCTAGGGGCAGTTGGCTACTGCAGGATTTGGATTCCTGGCTTTGCTGAGATTGCTAAACCTCTGCATGAGGCCACCGTGGGAGGAAATACACCCCTCGAATGGACTGAGGCTTGCCAGCAGGCATTTCAATTGCTTAAGACTGCACTTGCATGGGCACCAACCCTGGCATTGCCAGACTTAAACAAGCCCTTTACCTTGTATGTAACAGAGAAAAATGGGGTGGCTAAGGGAGTGATTACTCAGCTTTTGGGGCCATGGAAGAGGCCTGTGGCATACCTCTCAAAGAAGCTCGACCCAGTGGCCCAAGGGTGGCCTAATTGTTTGAGGACAATAGCAGCAACAGCTGCTTTAACCCGAGAGGCTGACAAATTGACCTTTGGACGGGATTTAACTTTGATCACTCCCCATGCCATTGAGCCCTTGTTGAATAGCTCGCCTCACAAATGGCTGTCTAATGCCAGACTGTTACAATATCAAGGACTCTTATTAGAACAGCCACGCATTAAGTTTGCCACCACCGCTGGCCTCAATCCGGCTACTCTACTCCCAGAATCTGATGAACAAATGCCCATCCATGATTGCCTCGAGACTCTCGAAAACTCAAGGGGAGGACGTCCGGACTTGACCGACCAGGCCCTCCCTCGCACAGAGATAATGTTCTATACTGATGGGTGCAGTTTCATTCATGATGGTGTGCAGTATGCTGGAGTGGTGGTGGTCAACCAGGACCAACAGGTAGAATGGGAGCAGGGTCTACCTCAAGGGACATCAGCACAGAGGGCTGAGCTGATTGCTTTAACTAAGGCTCTGGAATTGGGAAAGGAAAAAAGGATAAATATATTCACTGATAGCCATTATGCTTTTGCCACTGCCCATATACATGGGGAGATTTATCAGAACAGAGGGCTGCTAACCTCTGAAGGGAAGGAAATTAAAAATAAGACTGAGATATTGGCACTGCTACAAGCCATCTGGTTGCCCCGAGAGGTTGCCATCATCCATTGCCGTGGGCACCAAAAGGGGTCAAGCCCTGAGGTGATTGATAATAATGCTGCTGATCAGGCAGCAAAACAAGCTGCCCAAAAATCAGTGGGGAAACAAATGGTTCTGCTTCCCACACCAGTACTCCCAGAAAAATCTGAATATACAGACAAGGAGATAATGAAAATGAACAGGAGACATTGGACTTGAGGAAGACATGGGTGGTGGATGACTAAGGAGGGAAGGGTGGTGCTCCCAGCCACTGTAGCAGACACGTTGCTGCGAGAAGTACATGAGTCCACCCACCTCAGTGAGAAAAGGATGATGGCTGCCTTACAACCCCATTTCGTCAGCCAGGGATTAGCCCAAAAGGCCCAGGACATGGTGAGACAATGCCCCACCTGCCTCAAGGTAAATGCTAATCGGGTAACCGGGCCCCCTGGGGTCCGACACAGAGGACTAACTCCAGGAGAACATTGGGAATTGGACTTTACTGAAATGAAGCCTGGCATGTATGGGTACAAATACCTGCTAGTTTTTGTGGATGTATTTTCAAGATGGGTAAAAGCATACCCCACTAAGAGGGAGACAGCTGAAATAACAGTTTAAAAGCTCCTGACAGAAATAGTTCCCTGTTTTGGTTTGCCCTTAGCTCTGGGGTCTGACAATGGTCCAGCCTTTATGGCTAAGATATCTAA